CTACTAATGCAAGGACTTCTGTGCTTAGAAACAAGTACCAGCACTCACAACTTTCTATTTGTCTCAAGACCTCCTGTCTCATCAATATGCAGCATCTCTCAAGCACAAAGTTCATACAAGGTGTAAGACACAAAGCCCTTATCATGTCATTCTGTCACGCCAAACTGAATTACCCAGTGACTGCAACAGAGGGTAGTTTTCCCTGCAGGCTATGCATGCTGGGATTCACACCAAGGGCTTCCGCAGAGTGCTCTACGACAGAGCTATATACACTTGCAGCCCACAGAAGCCATTACTCCATGATTCATCATCTTGACTGACCCAGCATGAGCGCAAACACAACAGAAAACCTGTGATGTCTAATTTACCGAAAGGGAAATCTTTTTTCCTAGACTTCCTGCTCTCACACTAGCTCCTCCTTTTTCTTGAATTAAACAAATGCTTGAATAAAATGATTTTCACTGAATATTCCTTAAATAATAGATACTAACATCTTCTATGTGATCAACACTGTGAATATACACCAAGTCCAATTTAAGTATATCATGAAGTACTTTATGTCATATTTAAATGCTAGGTACCTAGTTGGTGGAACTATTTTTGAAATGATTAGGAGGTGGCCTTATTGGGAAAGGTGTGTCACTAGGGCTGAGCTTTGAGGTTTCAAACACCCACACCAAGCCCAGTCTCTCTGTCCTCTCTTTCTCTATCCCCTCCCCCACCTCCAATTTGTGATTTAAGTGCTCAGCTACTGCTCCCGTTCCATGTCTGCCCAACACGGTGGTCATAGACTCACCCTCGAAACTGTAAGCAAGACCCCAGTTGTAGTGATATTTATGATTTATTAAAGCTTGTCTGAGGATTCAGAAAAGCAAAGTCAGCCTCAAGCTATCGAGATCAGGCAATGGTGGTACACACCTTTAATCCTAGGACTCAGGATTAATAGGTAGACAAATCTCTGAATCCAAGGCCACCCAGATCAAGAGTGAATCAGTCTAAAAGACAGTTGTGGCTCACACCTTTAATCCCAACATCAGGGAAGTATATAAGACAGAAGCAAGGTCTCAGTAGAGGCATTCAGTCTCCTGTCACACTGAGGAGAGGTTACAGTCTGAGGTTTGGTGAGAGCTCGTGGAGACAGATCAGCCCATTCAGCCTGAGACAGAGGTAAGAAGCTAGTGGGCAGCTTCTTTGCTTTTCTGATATTCATCATGAAATCTGAACCCAATATCAATCTCTGGGTCATTTATTTTTTTGTGTTTCACCCAATTAAATGCTTTCTTTCATAAGAGTTGCCTTGATCATGCTATCTCTTCACAGAAACAGAACAGTGACTAAGATAACTATATTACTCAGTTAACTTAGAGCAGTTGTCTTTCTCCTACATGTGGCTTTTGAAAATAATGGCTTATCCTTCAATAATCAATATTTATGTATGGAAAATTAACACAACTGTGACCGTTTGCAGCCAACATTGAGCTGTAGTCTGGTCAAGAAAAAAAATCTGCACTGATTTGGCTTAATTTATTATGGAGGTAAAGGAATAAGCCACGCTAACCTACACAGAAAATCCCATGCAGTTATCTGCACAGTTCTTTGTGCCAGGGATTTCATCTTCCCACCTATTATATAAGTTGTTTTATCTTAATTACAAGGCTATAAAGAAGCCAATGTGTTCAGTTCAATACCAACTCGGGGCAGATAAAGAACTCAAATCCAGTTTGGACTAACTATGATGTTAGAAAGACTGCCTTTTGACAGGGCATTTGCTTTACAGAAAATGTAGGACATCTGGGAGGTTCTTAATAAAGATGACTAAATAACTTTGCTACTTATTTGTATTGCGCCTATAGAAGGCTTTTAAACTTTGTCTTTTGACCCACTATGCATTATCTGAATTTTTTGTATAGTAAGCAGAATGTGGGATTCTTCCTAAAGAAAACTGAGTTCTAAGAAAAATAAGACCAGTGCAAACAAGCACCCCAAAATCCAACTCTGTACTTGGGTTTTGAGATACACACATACCCTACCCTATCCTACCTTACCCTACCCTACCCCACAAACAGTGTTCCCACATTTATAAGGGAAAAGGTGAAGACTGAGATCTAAGGAGGATACTCAGGAAGAAAGAAAACAAGCTGGAAGAGAACAAAACACTTCCCAGCACACAGCAGCTACCCTAACATATCCTCTAGCTCTTAATGCTCAACCCACCCTGATGCTTCTATCTTTGGACCTACAGACCATCACTATGAATGTGCCTTAAGCAAGAGTTATGTAAAGAAAAACTTATAGCAGTATTACCTAGGATAAAGAAAAACTGGAAAGTCTAAATTTAAATTTTATCAATAAATTCTGAATATCAGTGAGAATCATGGGTATTTATTACTATAGAAAATAAAAAACCAAAGGCTACACCATCATAATGTTTATTAAATTTTAAGTTACTTATGTGTATATGCATGTTCATGTGTGCAGATACATGTGTGTGCATATGGAGATCCAGCAGAGGTACTATCCACGTTTTTGGTAAGGTTGTGGTTTTTTTGTTTGTTTTTGAGATGGGGTCTCTCATGGCCTGGAACTCATCAAACAGACTAGGCCCACTGGCCAGTGAGTGCCAAGGATCTCCTTGTCTCTCCCCAGCACTGGGATTGTGAGCATATGCTAGTATTCTCCGCTCTTTTAACTGGGTTTGCGAGATTGAACTCAGGCCATTATGGTGCAAGACAAGTATTCAGACTGAGCTCTCTCTCCAGCCTGAAGACTGAGCTCTCTCTCTCCAGCCTGAAGACTGAGCTCTCTCTCTCCAGCCTGAAGACTGAGCTCTCTCTCTCCAGCCTGAAGACTGAGCTCGCTCTCCAGCCTGAAGACTGAGCTCTCTCTCTCTCCAGCCTGAAGACTGAGCTCTCTCTCTCTCCAGCCTGAAGACTCTCTCCAGTGCAACTTTTTAGCCACCTTTTTATTCTGACACTTTTACTTTTAAAGGTAAAAGTACCTTACACATTTTCTCTTCTCCTCTTCCTTCTTTGTTCTTGCTCTTGGTTTTTTGAGACAAGTCTCACTATATAGCTCGGTGTGTCCAGGAACTTGTTATGTCTGTATAAGCTCAGGCTGGCCTTGAGCTTGTATCATCCACCTGCCTCTGCTTCCCAAGTGCTGAGATTATGATGTGCACCACCATGCCCAGTGTCAAAATATTTTCTTAAAGGTGCAAGTGATGTCATTGACCACAGGGACATAGTGATGTCACTGGCCTCAGGGAAGTAGTCTGTACAGTATGACAAACTGGGAAGTTGAAACCATACTGAGACTTTTAAAAAGTACATACTAACGGTCTCCCAACTCATTAGTTCATGATGCACATATGGAGAAGCAGTCGTCTACCTCACACTTGCTAGTCAAGAAAAGTCTGCAGAGATGGTGGGGCCTGAGATTTAAAAGGATACCACAAATGGAAAAGGTGTTTACATCTCAGTGAGGTTACCCTCTTCCACTATGCCAGTGCTATACTTAATGTGGTACAAATACAATTCTAAAAAATTAATGCAGACTATAAAATCCCTTTCTAATGTTTTACTGAAAGAGTACAATGGTGTTCCCCTATATAATCTTGCATTCACAATGATGAGGCAGTAGGATTGTCTTGAGTTCCAAGGTCAGCCTGGAATATATAATATGTTCCAGGACACCCTGAACTATACAGTAAGACCCTGTCTCAAAAAAAAGAAATAGATACAAGAAAGGAAAAGCAGAGAATACAGACCAAGATACAGAAGGTACAGACAAAGAACAGGAGTTAAGTGGTAGAGAAAAATCGACAAATGTAATCTCAAAAGAGTCTAAAAACAAAACAATCTGTAAATATCATTTTTTACAACATTCACACCTCTAAATATAACATGCTTCCAAATTATCACAGACCTAATCTTTAACTGAAGAAAAATGTGGTGACTAAATATAACAGCAAATATTTTTTTCTTTTTTTTCTTCTTTTGCTGAAGGCCTTAAGATCTAGCTTTTCTCTAGACCCTTTATTTTCTTCATTGTCTAATGCTTATTTTCTTCACTGGAAAATTAGAAAAGCAGCAGGAAAATGATGAGCATGACAAGAAAGTGGTGAAAGGATTTCTGGGAAGGAAACGGATGTCAGAGGTTCAGTTGGCCACATCCTAGATAAGGGTCTAGTGAATGCCAGAGAGGAAAAAGCCCTCACGATTAAGGAAGATGCGGAGTTCGCTCAAGATGGTCATCCCTGTGGCAAAGTGTTCAGTTTTTAATTAAAGTACTAACTCAAAATGGAGTGGTTTTCCATACCAGTAACTTTCATTAGAGTAGCTAAAATATTGCAGGCTCTCTAAAATGTCGAGTAACCTGTAAAAAGAACCATCTGTAATTATGAGTTTACATGGACTCTGTAAATCCTCCTATTCTTGATCTTGTAATGCTTTACCTCATACTGAACTCAGAACACGCACATGCTTTAAAGTATCGCCCTTGTTCTGTAGCCCATGCTACGCAAAGGGCCTCTGGCGGCATGTACGCTGTGTTGCAATGCTCCTATACTAGAAAAGGGTTAGACTTTAACACAATGGAGCCCTATCTATGAAGCTTCCTGAAGGCGTTTTGGAGACTGACTTACTAAATGTCATACTTTTCGAGGTACACCTGAACTTAAATGGATACTACAGTTCAGCTAAGGATTCCAAATGTACAAAGCCCAGAAAATGTGGCTTCTGGTTTCATGCTATAACCATGACCTCAGCTACCCAACATAGACTTCTTCCAGATAAACAGATTAAGGTTACCAACTCTGATTACTGCAGGTAGCTGAACCCATGTTAAAAAAGAAAATCAACTTTAAATGCATTCCACAATGCTTTACAGAAGCAAAACAAACAAACAAAGACAAATAAAAACAACAAAAAGTTCACAATTATTAAAAAGCTGATTTTTTGCTTAAAACACCAAGCAAGAATGGACATATGAATATTCCTAACCTGCAAAATGATTCCTCCACATTATATCAGCGAAACTCATTGGTGGGCCACTGGGAGGGTAGTGTTTACCTTTCAGAGGCTCATGATCAGTCCTTATCATATCCATTAAGGAGTTCTCCAAGGAGTGCAAGTTAAAAGTGTCATAGGGCCTACTCCGGTCCTAAAAATAGAAACACAGAACAAGACGATATATAGTTACTTCATAAAATTAACATTTGTTCTGCTTCCTGCTGTATACTGGCAACATGAATGAAAGTTACAATTATAAAAACACATTAAGAATAATGACAGTGGCAATATTCTCAATAGAAGTATCTACAATTAATGTGCATCCATTCCCTGATAGTCTATAACGTAAATGCCTCATTCCTTCAGACTGACTTCTTTCAAATGAGATCAGATGCATTAGTGTTGCCTTCTACTATCCACTCCCTGTCTTCCACATTCCTAGAGAACCGAGAAAGTCCGTAAAATCAGAACCATGTTCCTGAAAAAGACAGAGGGTTATTTTATAAAGAAGCTGAGGCAACAGCAGTTTCACCTGTGTAAGGAGTTCCAGGTTGTCTGAAATAGACACTGCCTCAAAATAGAAAAAGCAAAATCATGACAATTTCAATGTATTCATAATAAATCACTTTAATATTTATGAACAGTAAATTCCATATATGGATATTTTTTAATGTGGAATAAAAAAAATAAGTTTAAGATGTGTTGTCCTTTGACCCCCACATGCATTCTGGGGCATGCACTTGTACACACACATGCACATAAATAAGTAAATGCCAACAAAATAATTTTTTTGTCTTTTATGACAGGGTTTCTCTATGTAGCCCTGGTTGTGCTGGAACTCACTCTGTATATCAGTCTGGCCTCAAACTCACAGAGATTTGCCTCCCAAGTGCTAGGATTAAAGGCATGCACCACCACCACCAAGTGGCAATTTTTTAAAGCAAGAAATAAAATTTCATGGTGAAGAGGAGGTTAAATGACAATAAAAAAGTCTGTTTGGGATGTTTGGCAGAATGTGGTGGGACTTGCCTATTATCCTAGCAGTTCAGAGGCTATCACACAAGCCCCTGACCATCCTCCTGATGACATCCAAGAATCTTTCTGGCCAGGGAAGTTTTGTTTTTGTTTTTCCATTTAATCTTTAATGTAATCTTTCTTTCAAGGTAGGTAAAAAACATATCTATTGTATACATAAGGAAAGTGAGTTTGGCAAAGATTGGAACGTACGTATCTATACTCAAAACCAATACCCCAAGGAATATAAAGTTTGTCCAAAGAAGTTGACCCCATCAGCACAGGATGGTAAGCAGTGACTCTATGGAATCATAATAGTGCATGTAATCACTGATGAGATGACCTTGCTGCATGGTGGTAGTGAGTTCCTGTCAGGAGAGGCTATATGCTTTTAGGTGACTACCTATTAGGAAAATGAGTGAAGGTATTTAGGAAGGTGTGTCATGTGTTTAAATTGAAATGATCCTCAAATCAGTTAAAATGTCAAATTCATGGGTCACTCTGGTTGAACTACAAGTTCCTGGGCTTGGGAGACAGCTTAGTTGACAAAGTACTAGCCTTGTAGGCACCAGGATGGGAGCTCTCCCAAACCTATATACAAGTACAGGTTGTAGTGGCACATGCTGGGAGACAGAGACAGGAAGATCCCTGGGGCTCACTGGCCAGCTATCCTGTCCCTCTCAGAGTGCCAGGTCAGTGAGAACCCCTACCTCAAAAGATCAGTGGGCAACTCCGGAGGACCAACATCTAAAGTTAAACTAGATTCTACACTAGTGTGCTTCCTTTCCCAATCTCCTGAGCTCCAGTTCAAACATGCTTAGTAATATTTTATAAGAAAAGCCAGCAAGATGGCCAGAGGGGAAAGGTGGAGATGGTAAAGTATGTGCCCCACAAGCTAGAGAACTTTAGTTCAGATCCATCACTCACACAAAGCAGGCAGACAGGACTTACTACCCATCAGCCTAGCTGAATCTGTCACTTTACAAGCATGTTCAAGTACATACACACATAAAAGAATGCACAACAGCTACCTACATGGTGTCTACAACAACAGTAGCAAGAACACAAAGTGTCTTCTGTAATGCCACATCCCAGTACTGGAACATAGATTTAAAATCTATAAGGAGTTTATCGATACAAACTGAACAGTGTCCATTTATACTCAACAGATGAAAACATGACATGTGGCCAGCATAACAGAATTTGCACATGCCTCTTCTTTTCTTGTTTGTTTGTTTTTCCGAGACAGGGTTTCTCTGTGTAGTTTTAGAGTCTATCCTGGTACCCTCTCTGTAGACCAGGCTGGGATTAAAGTCATGTGCCACCAACGCCTGGCTCCATTGAGACTTATTTTCTCATAAAATTAATTCTATTCATGCCTCATCACTTTTTTTTTTTTTTGATTTTCGAAACTGGTTTTGTTTTGGAGGCTGTCCTGGAACTCACCCTGTAGACCAAGCTGGTCTTGAACTCACAGAGATTCGCCTGCCTCTGCCTCGCTAGCGCTGGGATTAAAGACGTGCTCCACCAATGCCAGGTGAAGCAGTCTCAATTCTTATGTCTATCCAGGAGAAGAATTTAGTCAGGACATGGGTGTAGATCACACAGTCAGCAACAGTTCAGTCAGAGCCAGCGAGAAGCAAGAATCCACCAGAGGCAGAGTAGGCCAAGCAAGCAGCCATGCTGATCCCTGCAGGCGGGGCTAACATTTCTCCTCTCCCTGATGTTTCTTCCCATGTGCCTCCCTCACAGGGAGTCCTAGGAAAGGGGCATGCTGTCCTCAGAAGCCAGTTTACCTAGGATTCAGTCTGTTATAAATACATGTATGAATACCCTTAAATTTTAAAAGTTTACTAGGAGCCAGGAGGTGGTGGTGCACACCTTTAAACCCAGTACTAGATAGGGGTGGGGGAAGGCAGAGGCAGGCTGATCTTGGAGTTTGAGGCCAGCCTGGTCTACACATGGAGTTCCAAGACAGCCAGGGCTACACAAAGAAACCCTGTCCTGAAAAAGAAAAACAAACAAACAAACCACAACAAAAAAGGGAAAAGTGTACTAGGAGGGGAAAGTCTGCATGTGACAGGCGTCCTGAGGCCACTTTGATCTGGTCTAGCTAGCATGGGTCACTGTCACCCACTGCCCCTTACACATCTGGATCCTGGGCCCTTGGTTTGGCCTACCTGGGGCTGACAGGTGCCATCGCCTTCACATTCCATTTCGGTGCCTTGAGCTGCCCCACCCACTGTCTTGTATATCCTATACGGGGGTGTAAGGGAAGGTGAGTGTGAGACCCTGTCACAAGGGGCAGGGGGACATAGAGGGCAGCAGCAAGATGGTTCAGCAGATATTACTGCCTGTTGGGTAGCCCTGAAGTCCTTGGTTCAATCCTGGGAGCCCTGGAGAGAACCAACATTTAAAAACTATCTTCTGACCTCCACATGGGCACACTACATGTGTGTACCCCCACTCAACAACATACAAACTAATAAACAACCCTAGGCCAAGCAGATAAGCAAACAGCAACTTACTCATAAAGTTTCCCCCCCAGGGTTTTTTTTGTTTGTTTGTTTTTTGGGTTTTTTTTTTTTTTGGTGCCTTCAAAGCCACAGAGAAACTGTTTAAAAAAAACAAAAATAAATACAATAAAAATAAAATTGTCTTACTACTCAAGGAAGGAAGGCAAAAGTAAGGTGCATCTGTAATGGTAGTACTCTTCTTGGGAAGCTGAAGCAGGAGGATGGAGCATGTGAGGGGAGCCTGGGCTGCACAATGTGATTCTTGCTTGAGGAAACTAAGACTCTAGGAAGGAGATCTGTGAGTGTAAGTCCTGGGCAGATATGGAGTCAGTGGTGAAAGTTACAGTGGTAGCACCAGGGTCCAAACGCAATCAAATCCAGGTGACATCCTCCTTAACCCTCTCTTTTTAAAACACCTCTGCACCTAACCCAGACAGTTCAGAGAGGACTCTTCGCCTCTGCCACACAAGCCACCTGACTCATATGCCCTTCGTCAATTACCGCATTCAAGTGACAGGTAATTAACCTCAAAACGAAGCCTTGATCACTCTCCAACACATCCATGGCCCCGCCTTTCAGTCCCAAATCACCTCACTTACTTTCTGCTCTTCTGGCTTTTTTTTATACTTGGGTGTTTCCTTTCCCAGAAACACAAAGTAGAAGACTTTAAGAGCCAACAGTATCTAGGAACCAAACGATGAAAATAACCATGGCAGGTCAGAAAGATGGCTCAGTGGGTAATAGAGCTTTAGGCTAAATGTGATAACCTGAGTTTGATCTCCAGGAGAGAAACAACTCCTTCAAGTTCTTTTCTGGCCTTCACAGGCTGGCTCCCCTCCCCGCCCACCCCAACATACACACACTAACTAAAATAAAATAATAATCATTGCACCTTGTAATACGCTAGGCACTGGACTGAGTGTCTTCAATTTTCTGCCACCCTGGGGATAGACAGAACTTATGCAACTGTTCAAAGTCGCACACCTACCAGACAGATGAATAATTGGCAAAGTAGGGTAGCAAAGTCCCACCCTATTGGAATTCTGGTTTCAGAAACTGGGCAGACCCACCTTGGTAAGGTGGGAGAGGTGGGTGACAGGCAAGCAGACAGGAACAGGGACTGACTAGGAGCGGGGGTGGGGTCTTGGAAGTAAGGACTGGGGTCCAGTTCCCTTGGTCCCTGGCCCAGAGACTAGTGGTTGGCAACTGGTTGGAATGGGGGAGGCAGAGAAGCCGGCTCTGAAAATACAGAGTTCTTCGTCTTGTCTTTCAAGACCAAGACCAGGCAACAGGTAAGACCCAGTGGCCTCACACTTGGATTTAATTTAGCCCCTCCAGGACTAGGCTTACATGGCTGCATGGCACCTGACTTGGCATATCTTTTTAAAGTGGATATTTTCTGTGTGGTAATTAATAAATTTATCCTTCTCAAACACACACAGAGCATGACAATAGAAAAGTCTCCACTCCTACCTTCTCTTTCAGATCACTATAAATATTTGGCAGGTATTTTTACAGACGTTTAAAAATATAAAGTTGGCCCTTCCAAGTAGGCACAGATTTGATATCTGTAGACTGTAAAGCAAAGTATAAATGCCTGAACAAAGGGCAACTGCACTGT